CCGATTCAATTTTCCGATTCCAAACAATTCTTTTTTTTCCAATGTATGTCGCTAAACATCAAATTGATTTATGGTTGGTACGGTTTTTGTTCATGTTTAAGAAATTAGGCTAAACTACTGTCTAGGACTAACTTTACAATTGACCAACAATAAATTATAAGTTAGGCCTATTAAAAAGAAAGGGTACAGTTTCATATCTTTGGCACAAACAAACGAATGAGCATTATTTGATTGTTTAATTCGATATATCGATCGATATTACTCATTCGGTTGTTTGTGCCAACAGATATGGAAGTGTACCCAAAATAAACAAAACAAATAGGCCTAGGCCTACCTAATAACAAATCAATCAAGGATAAAACAATATAATGCTTCTTAAATGTTTGGTTACCTCGGTAGGTGTAGCTCTGGGGAGTGGGATTTTTTCAACGTTATTTTTTTATTTATATCATATGGTAAATGTATGATGAACTTAAATTCAATAGGCCTTGGCCTACGATATTAAGTTAAGTTAAAATAAAACCGATAAGTACCTAGTTATTCATCTGATAAAATAAGCAAGTTATTGTTGGTTCTCTGCGGAACTGTAACTTAGGCCTACCCAGTAGGTAAGATAGGTAGCCTACATTTTTATAAACTCACGAAAAAAAAGATCAAAGATAACTTACCGTAGCCTAACTTAGCCTAACTTATGTATTTAAAAATTTATCTCTTTAACAAATCATACACAAAAGATTCATGTTGATTTTTAGAAATGTTATCTTTGTTATTAGGCCTATTATATGCCTAAACTAAAAAGTAAGCTACACAGTATAAAGAGTCTCCTTAAAAAAAGATCTTAGGCATAATTTGTTCAATATTGAAATAAGTTAGGCCTTGGCCTACATGATAAATAGGTACGGTAAGTTGTATCGCCTAAAAGTGAACCGATTACAAAAAGTTATCGCATATAGGGTATATTAAGTTAAACAAAAATATTTCATCTGATAAATTATCGTAGGCTAGGTTCTCTGCGAAACTGTTCCCCTGAAGATGGGTAACTTTATCTAAGTAGACCTACTATAAGGACACAGATCTAGTAGGCTAGCTAAAGAAAAATTATAGGCTATATTACTTTTTTAGGTTTATTTAGGTAAGTTAGGGTTATATTAAAGGCCTACCTTTCTTAGTTTAAACTTTCTACCGTAGGCCTATATTCTTTGACGGTGAAAAACACATTAAACACAGATTGTTGTATGAACAAATAAACATAGTACTGTGACATCATTAGACACAGATTTTAACAAAACACTTGACAGGCCATAACTTACCTAGGCTAGGCAACACGGCCGTCTAGGCAATTAATGTCAACAGACACACTTTACACAAAACAACTTTACATGACACATCACTTCCTCGCTTCACCGCCTTCCTTCAAAAGTTTATACTGTTTAGGCTATATTTTGAAGTTAAGATTATCTACCTCAGCATTCTGATTGTCCGTCTCACCATTCTTCCACTGCCTTGGTACAATCGGTGAAGACCTGTGCCTGTGAGCCCAATTTTATGTCTGCTCGTACCGTACGTCTTGATCTTCACTTCTTGGCTATCTAAGCGTAGTCCTTTTGTTATGGGCCCTTAGCAGCATTATTATAAGTGGGCTAGCTCTTTGAAACAGTAGGTTCCCACTTATTGACCTACAGTAAGTTATTTACTGTTCAATACTTGATGAAGGGTCCATACGCTCAGTTGGCACATAGTCGACTGAGAGTTCAATATTAAACTCACTAAAATTTGTCATTTATTCAGACAAAATTCGGGAAAGCTCCTTCCTATTGCCTATTCTTGTGTCCATTGGCTGAGTTTCATCCGCTCTTCATCAGAACTGAGTCTACTTGTTCTAGGTTAACCTTAACTTAATGGATGAGGTTTGAGTTGAATCTAAAATACAGGTTGATTGCATTACTTACCTACGTAATTTAAATGGATAGGATTTTATTCACAAACTTTTAAAACCTACTTAGGTTGCCGTCTTATTATCAATAGCAGAATGCACTAAACCTTGAGGAGTATGTTCTAAGACTAAACTTAACTTTAAGGCAGCATTTCTGTCTGATTCTGTCTTAGTTTAGTTAGCGAGTGAACTGCAGACGACCGATGAAAAAAAGATATATTAAAAGAAAAAAAACCTTATTTGATAAAAAAGTCTTAGTACTTACGTTATATCATTATACCGTAATATGAAAGTACAGTAACTTATCTAAATATTTTGGGGCAACATTTGAATGACTGACTGAATAGATAAAGCCACCTATGAAATTTAATTTAGAACAACCAGAACGAAAATAACTAAAACCATTGAAATATTAATTGGGCAAACATAACACTTAACTTTTAGCAAGTTAGGAAACAATAGTAGACTTTCACCCACGGCATCGTTTACCGTCGCGTCGTACTTATTATATAGCACAGCTTACTGAAGAAACGTAGCCTGTAGAATAAACATGTAAATATTTATTTTTCAATCAATTGCAATACATTTTAGTAGATAATTTGTTAACTCTGCCAGTATTTTCGTAAATACATTATTATCCTAGACATTGTAGAGTTATAATGTGAATACGATATGACTTACTCTATGGATGAAAGAGTAGTCGTTCTCTTTGTCTCAAGTAAACGACAAAATTGTAGGTCGTAAAATGTAAACAAATAAAAAGAAGAAGAAGGTAGCTCATAATGTTAATCTTATGGGACAAAATTAAAAATGTTTTTTTAAGATTTTATAATAATTACGCAACAAATATTTTTGAACAACTAATGGTCGCAAGATAAAGTGGTATAGAATCTTTGTGCAACACATCAAGTTCATAACTTTAGTCATTCTCGAGATTTCGATCAACATAAAGATGCATTTCACACCAGTATGAGAATTCACTTCGTTCATTCAACAAGCAAATGGGAGGGGTTGATATGAGGGACCAAATGCTGCACGCATATCAGCTAGAAAGAAAAAGGGGCCTGAAATGGTATGTAAAAATCTTTTAACGCCTTCTGAATATTTCTGTATTGAATTCCTTTATAATCTGGAAATCTAATACCCAGAAAATTGACCACCTAGCCTTTTGATTAGATCTTATAAAGATGCTTTTTGAGACCCATGGCCCTGAAGTACCAAGACCTGTTTTTGGAAGACCTTCAATTGAGCCGAGACCTGCTAGACTTACAGAAAGGCACTTCATTTACCTGATACCACCTACAGGAAGTAAAGTAAATGCACAAAAGAGGTGCTGTGTATGTGCAAAACGGGGAGTAAGAAGAGACAGCAGATATTGGTGTCCCAAGTGTGAAGCAGGACTGTGTCTTGGAGCATGCTTCGAAGACTACCATACAAAAGTTAACTTCTAAGAGGTATGTAACTATTGTATCACATATAAACTTTTATTTCAATCATATATTTTTAAAGCCTATAATCTGCTCTTTATTTTGGTGAAAGAATTATAAACATACATGTATAAATAAGTTAATTATTGACGGTTTTATGTAAACATATGACGGTCCCACTAACAAAAACTAACTTCTAAGAGGTATATAAATAATGTATCACATTCAAACTTTTATTTCAATTATATATTTTTAAAGCCTATAATCTGTTCTTCCATTTGGTGGAAGAATTATAAAAATCCATTAATAAATAAGTTAATTATTGTAGGTTTTATGTAATCATGTAACGGTCCCAGTAAAAGCTTTGGAAAAGTGCCGCGGGAGGGGGTGGTCTGCCATCTAGAAAGTCACGTGTTGAAGGGTTAATATTTGTAAGTAAAAAAAAAAAACATTGAAGAATATACACATCATGTTGTCACAGTGGTAAATAAGATATGTTTACTGGTAACAGATTTAAGTCGGGAAACATTTGTAGAAAACACTAAAAAATAAGGCCAGGTCTAAAAAATGCTAAAATATTTTTACATTTAGCATTTATTATTTCAAAGCGCTATTAAATAGTGTGAGTAGGCTATTTCAATTAGTTATATAAGCATTTTGTCGGGTCTTTTAAACTCATCGAAAATTATGACTGTTATTAGGCCTACTGTAGTTTTAAAATAACTTCTGTATAATACCAGTACTTGACAATTGCTAGATTTCGAGCAACAGCTGGTACACTAGTATATAAGATTACTCTTCAAACAATGCTAAATGATCAAAATATGTATAATTTCACTCAATTTTTTGTAGTTAGATGAATTAGCGTAAGCCTTGAAAGTAACCGTCGATTTTGATGGGTTTCACCTAGTATATAAATTTTTGAGCTGCCCCCAAAAAAGCCCATTTTGGGTTCCCAGGCAATAATAACACCGATGACATACGGTATGGGAAATATTTTAATCATTGAATGATCAACCGTATTTGGTAACTAACGCAATTAATATCATTATTGTTTTTACACTTATTACTCTTCAAACAATGCTAAATGATCAAAATATGTATAATTTCACTCAATTTTTTTTTAGTTAGATGAGTTAGCGTAAGCCTTGAAAGTAACCGTCGATTTCGACGGGTTCCATCTAGTATTTAGAAATTTTGAGTTGCCCCCAAAAAACCCTATTATGGGTTCCCAGGCAAATTTGTCATATTACTTATTTTTTTACTTTCTTGTTACAATAATAATGAGTTTAGTTTCCCTGGTCCAACCCATTAAAAAGCTGAGGGGGGGGGGGGACTATTATCGGACACCTGGTATAACAATGCCATGTAAAAACTGAAAATTTATTTTGTTTTTCATTACTCCCACTTGCATGAATTTTTACTCTAGAGTTTTATAACAAACCCTTTTTCCCCAGGGAGAAGAGCCTCGTCCTGTTTCTGTCCCAAAGTTTAGGAAGGAAGTAAAATCTAAAAGTACAATTCCATCCATCTCTATTGACCATGTCTATTCCACGATTGTTATTCCTAACGAAAATGGAGGATTTGGTATGTAACCATCTACGAGTTTCTTTGAGTTTAGTAGTTTGAAATGTGCTCACCTTGGAACTCTCTTGGTATGCGATGCGTCGAGGGGCCTCTCCTAGGGGGACAGTCCTGATGTGAAGCTTCTGTATCTCGTCAATGGTGCCGATGGTGACAGTGCTGTCTGTGGCCAGGGCCAAACTGTCTGGATAAGACTCTGCATTCAATGAGCACATGTGGTTCACCTCTTTTAAATTCACATTCGAGAATACCAACTTGTGGTTGGAAGAGTATATCACGGTAGGTCTATCTGAGCAGGCGAAAACATTTGTTGTTGATAAGGACTTAAACGTCCTCAACACAGTTGGTTGAGTACCCAATGTTACCTGAAAGTATAGAAGACATTTCTAATAATTTAGAGGAATCATTAGAGCCGTTTTTTTTTTAGTATTGTGCCTAAAAATTACTTGTATTATAGTATAGATTTATAATTAATTATTGTTGGCTGTACCAAACTGAATTTGGGTCATTCCATGCCAAATCAAACACTTTGACCATAATGTTAGGACCTTGACCTCTCAGATTTTTTGTATGCAAGTTCTACTAACCAAGACTAGTAAAAATATAAATTACGCGACAATACTCGTTTATAGCCTTATTGTCTCGCCCACTACATTTTACACACGTGACCACTTTTTGTTTCTTACTTATCTTTCATCCGTCCCAAAATGGAATTCCTGAAATAGTTTGTTGGTATAATCTTCCCTCCCACACAAGGCGCAGTACTCAGTGCGCACTGTAGGTTGTCACGGCAACCGTATGTCGTCATAGCGACTAGCCAATCACGCACTCGCACTGCGTTGTAGATTACGATACGAATAGCTGTGTTAGAAAAACAACGCGATAAGTGGTAGTTTGTCTCTTTCGTATCTCCTCAAAATTACAATCGATAATCAGATAATCATTGCGCAACGTAGAATTGTGATGATTTTGTTTTCAATAACGACACATATTAAGTGTTTTTATATGGACACAGTTAGTCTTTGACATTGCCTAGCCATATGAATTATTTTACTTAAAAAAACCCACCCTTGAAAAAAGAAAATGACTTATTTGTATTTGGATTTGGTACCGACATTTTCTTGGATCCGCCCATCACTACTCAAAAACCATTCCACCTAGAGAGTTCAAATTTGTGGCATTCTTTTTAATTTAAAATGCCCTTTATTTTGATATGTCACATGCCTATGTTAAACAAATGTCAAAAATAAAGAAAAAATTCAAAAACGTTTTTTGAAATTTCCAAACTACGTCTCCTTGAATTTTTTTCATAAAAAAGTATGTGATTTGTACCTTAACTGACTACATGTACTGAAATTTTCAGAATGGGATACAAATGGGTTCTTATTTAAAAAAATATTTTGTCATAATTCGCACCCTCTACACATGACAATGGGGCCATTTCATGTTACAGCGTGGTCAGTTAAGGTACAAATCACATACTTTTTTATGAAAAAAAAATCAAGGGGACGTATTTTGGTAATTTCAAAAAACGTTTTTCAATTTTTTCCAAAATTTTTGACATTTGTTAACCCTCCGAGTGTCCATAGTTTAGGCCTTAATGTCCACCTATTTTTGGCCCCTTTGCAAGGTTTTATTAAAACGGATCTGAGAAGCTTAAAACAATGTTAATTCTAATGTTCTATATACCATTTTGTTTGGAAAATCATGGGCTTCAATATTATATATAAAACATAAGGAACATTTTTTCAAAAAAAAAAATTTTTAGGTAAAAAAAAAATATAATTTCGAAAATTTTCAAAAAAAAAATAAGTTCGCGCTCAATGAAATTGTATAAATTATAGGCCTATAAATATTTGAAAATAGCCACTTTGTTCTAAATTTAATGAGGATTACAAATATATAATCATATAGCGAGGTAAGTTATCAAATAAATAAGTTATGAGCGAAAAACGGATTTCAGTACATAGCGTTTAGCTAAGAATGCATAGCCTAACCATAGCTAGGAATCTGGCTGATAATTTACATCAATATCACTACCTACTTCTTCAGGATCATCAACCAGCACTTCAAAACCACTTAAATCTTCTTATAATGCACCACGTATATCACTACTTTTGATTTTTAACACTAAAACAATGATAAACGTAATAAAACACATCAGTCATCGGTCCGGGGGAACCTAGCTGTTTACAAATACACGCACGTCAGCTGTCTGCTACAATATTTTCGGAACTAAAATGAATAGCGCTTAGAGACAGACCTCTGGAGAAAGCTTAGAATATTACGGAAAGAACGATACCTAACTCGATCCAGTTCAATCCGATTCAGTCAGTCATAGAGCCTTCGCCGTAAACGATGTTTGTGCGTCTTAAAAGCGACGCGTGACCCTACACAAAGTGTGTTGTGCGTCGTTTTTATGACGCGTGACACTCGGAGGGTTAAACATCGGAATGTGACATATCAAGATAAAGGGCATTTCAAATTAAAAAGAATGCCACAAATTTGAACTCTCTAAGTGGAATAGTTTTTGAGTTATACAATATTAAGGATTTCAAAACGCGGCTCGAAAACATAGATTTTCGGATTTTTAAGGCTTTGTAACTCAAAAACCAAAAGTCAGAAAAATCTAAAAATTTATATTTTAACTAGACTTGGTTAGTAGAACCTTCATACAAAAAATCAAGCAAATCTAAGAAGTCAAGGTCCAGACCATTGGTTGATTTGGCATGGAATGGTAAGAAGGAAAATACTGTACCGAACCGTTGGCATTACTTTGGCCAGAACAGTACTGTACAGACTTTTTCGGTGCACTGCAGACCCCCACGTTATGCTTAGATCAACAGTTTGCATAAAAACAAGAAAACTGGAAAAAATAAACGATGCGTTGGAATGAGAAAAGTTAAACGAGATAAATGACCGTAGATCATTGTTATTTTCATAGTTTTACATACCTTCTTCTTATCAGTCAGTAACCCATTCTGTTTGTTGAGTGAAAAGTAGAACATTGACCCATCACCTAAGGCACACAATAGGTAATTGAGACCCTCAAAGCAGGTCATCAAGATAGAACGAGGTATGATCTCTCCTCCGAGAAACTCTCGATTTATCTCCTCCAAAGTGGGAATCTTGAGAATACGAGCAGAAATGTCAGTCCAGAGACCCACAGCAACAATATCTGCTTTGCTGCTGTCATTGTCGAGCGGAGAGATGTCAAGGCAGGCTACTTCATGTTCTAAGACAGTATGTCCCCTCTGTAATCAAAGTCAAAGTTAACACCCAAGTTTCTGTTGATAAATTATAATCAAACAAAGGTTTTATTTTCAAAGTAACATAAAGTGGCACCAACATAGTAAAAAATAAGTTTACCAACGATGGAGTCATGTGTGCAGATTAATCAGCTGAGTGATACATGTGGATAGGACAGGCTGTCAGGATTTGCCTGACCTGAACAACTGAAAAGTGTGGTTTTACAACTTTTTGTTATTCAATATTTCTGAACTCATGGTCGTTTGACAGAACATTAAAGTCGCTAAGGGTTCATGATTATTTTTCATAAAATCTTCTGCTTTATTTAATAGCTTTTTATTTAAAAAAATAGTGGATATCTCGGTAATAAGATATATTTGAAAGGAATGTAAGGCTCAATTTTCTTGTTATTTTGACCCATAAAACCTATTTTCTAACCTTTTCTTGTGTACTGTGTACCTGAACTAGTTGTTGCTGAAGGATCTCTAGGTAGAAGAGGTCAAACCCAGTAGCACAGAGGAGTTGGATGCTGTTGCAGGCAACTACACTAATGCTGCGGTCAGAGTCAGCCTTCCACTCACTGATCAGCTGTTTGGTGTCACAAGAGATAAGTCTAGCAGACACGGACGTCACTTGTACGATGCAGTTCTCTCCAACATTGGCACAGTAAAATGTCTGTTGGTCTGACAAGAAGCCTGAGATATCTGTCTCTTCCACTTCTTCTCCATTCAAGAGAAGCACACTGAACAGAAATTGGTAAATAGATACAAATTACTCAAAAATAGCTACAGCAACTAGATTAACTTGGAAAAGGCCTAGATAAGCTATAGTAGCTTTAGGTAGCTTAGTCCCCAGGAGATGTTAGATATTGTATATTTTCTGCGTGTACTATGCCCTACCCAGTGTTTTTCTACAAGCTTGCTACATTTCCTTTAACCTATTCTAAAAATCAAAATCCAATCCAAGAGGGCCTTACCTTAAACAAAACTAATGAAATAGGCCTAGTTACAAATTTATTGCCACGAATTAAACACACTAAGCAAACTTTTCGGTTTGATAACCTTAAAATTGTATTACCACATTATGAAAACGCTGCTAATCACACAATATTTTAAATTATGTTTGTAAACAACAGAGAAGTAAACATTGATGACGGCTTTGTACAACCTAAAATTACGTGGTATAATCTGTTATGATTAGAACGTTATTTCCACAGTATGATGAAAATAGTTATTCATCACACGGAGCAAAAGTGTCTTTTTGGTTCTTAATCATATTTCCAAGCTCGGCCTTGCTTGTAAAACATGATTGCTTACCAAAAAGAGCCACTTTCGCTTCTACGGTAGTGTTGAAAAACTACTATTTTAACCCTTACCACGCTGTAGACGAATATACTTGCCGAAATTCCCTTTATTCAAAACGATATGAATGACTATACTCGCCTTTTAATACAGAGTGCATTGGCTGCTCTTGGTAGTTCCCAGTTTTGCCGATAGCGTACAGCAGCTAATTGGGGGACATCTCTTGTGATCACAAATCACAATAACAAAGTTCTCCGCCTTTTGATTGTTCAAAATGGCGACACGCTACACTTGCCGGTCTCTGCTATGAGAGACGCCAGAAAGTGGATGTACTGACTTGTTTTATTTGCACTGAAGTGAATTTATCAACTGTAATTTTGATGTTAAATTTTAATTAAAATAAGTTATTATGCTTAATTGTATTTTACATAATTTCATTTCATTTCAAACAATCTTTATTCTTTTAATAGATATTTATAGTACATTGAACAGTGTCGAAAAGTGATTCTTTATTATAACTTAAAACTGTTTTATAACTTATTTCTACCATTTTTTACCAAAAAAGATGGTTATTTATACTATTACAATAGAGATTCTCAACAAAACATAACAATCATAAATAAATTAAGAAAGCAGTAAAATAATCTAAACATCCAAAAGCCCTTCAAGTCCCAGAAGGTTTTGAATTAAACTCTAGGTCAAGAAATTCTTGTGTTTTGATGTATAAGAAATTTGACTATGAAGATGGTTATTTTGTAATGTGTATGACATGTCCTATTTCTTTGTAAGAATATTTTTCATGTAAGATCAATGGAATAAAATATTCTTATTCTTATTCTTAATGTTGCTTCACGGTTGTTGTCAGTAGATGACTGGCAGTGCGGCAATTGCTCTGCTGTGTCTTTATTCTTAAACGTCATGAGCATACTTAATATTTAATTCTCATTTGAACATTTTCATTTCTCTGCAATAATAGATATAATATAAGAGTGTTTCTCAGAAAATAAATGATTATTCTTTTTTTGTCCCAACCCCGATCTTGGTCCGAACAAATCTCTGATCCGACCCGGTCTCTCGGGCCTTCCGCTGGCCCGAACCGACCCAAAAAATTTGAGGACCCGCAGACCCCTAACAAACAGTTTGGTACTTCAATGTTTAGAGTTTAGGCTATTAAAAAAAAAAAAAATTGGATGGTAATTTCCAATAAGCGGTAACATACCGAGTGTGACCCACAAATGAGAGGACCAGCATGTTGTCAAATTTGTTGTTGGCACCCACACTTAGGGCCCAGATTCCTTTGATGCCAGGCAAATCAATGGATGCATGCTCTTGGATACCGATGCCGTTCCGGATTATTCTTAGGGAACCCTCTTTGTATGCTCCTGAAAACAATTAATTTCAATCAACCTCTTTTAGCTAATGAATCTAAAGAACAGATTAACTTCTTGGGCTTAAAAATAAAAAAATATTATTAAACAAATCTAAAAAATATTCACAGTCTACAGTTTTTTTTCATTTATGGGCCAATTAAATTTGTTTAGATGAATGATACAATTGCAATAGGTAACAATATTCAAAAATAAATATAACACAAGATCATAACAATTGGTAGAGCAGCACAATTTGGAATTTTATAAGAAAAAAACTAGTTTTTTGGGGAAAAAAAATTTACACCACCCTCCAGAAATGTTAAAATTAGAGAACAATTTAAATTCAAATAAGTTTTTAATAGGGATGGGCCCATTCCAATTCTCGATACCAAACAAAAAACTCAGTGAATATTAAATAGGTTAAAATGTATGTCTTCTTGAAGTATCTTATTTTACTTATAGGCTAACCTAATCTATGTAACCTTAATAAATAGCAATGCAGTTATCTTATTGTATAAAGATTAATTAAAAATAACATGCCCCTTTATTTATAGGGCTAGCGAAAAGCACACACTCACATATATATGTGTTATTAAATGAATTTAAAACAGGTACTGGTGTCAAGTGCGGAATCGAGAATCAAACCAAAGTTCTGGAGCCGGAATCAGTATCGGAATCGACAAATTCTGGAATCGGCCCAACACTAGAACTTAAGTCAACATTTTACTCCATTCAAAAAATTGTTTAGAAGTGAAAATCACTTATTAACACAAAAACATCTCCATTGATTGTTCTATGTCCCTTTTAGCGAATTTCCTCTATAGGGAATAAGCTATTACCGTAGTACTCATAATAAGACTTGGACCCGGGACCGATTTATTTTTCGTTTTGAGGTACCTAGAGACCAAAAACACTATCCGTTCAAATTCATATATATATATGTGTCCGTTAGCACGATAACTCAAGAAAATATCATCCGGTTTTGATGGAATTTGGTAAAAATGTGTAAACCTACGTTTATTCAAACGAGTTTGCGAACCAGCATTATCGGACTATGGGAACAGGGGTTTATGGGGGGTTTATAGGGTAAAAATTGGTTTTTCCCATTTTTGACCCTACAAACTTAAAATTTAGCATTTTCTTTCCAAACCATTTTGTAGAGCTTAAAAAAACAAATAATTTAATATACTGAAGCGTTATTATGCGCCTAATAGTTACGGAGAAAATTCCAAAAAACTGTAAATTTAAAATTCGGAGAATAAGTAAACTGTGGTAGTTTGCTTGTTTATGATCATATTTTGATCGAATTTGGAAAATGCATTAATTTCATACTAAACTATAAACATTTGACAAAAAACACCTTTTTACCCTCCCTCTTGCAGCAAACCTAAGTATTTGTTAAACTAGTGTTTTTTTTTTTAATAGGGAATAAATGTGATATTTTTAAGGAGACATTTTAGTGTAAATCCAATGAGGCTAATTGGTTTTACCCAATTAAAAATTGTTAATTTGCATTGACATGTTTAATTCCATTTTATTCCATAGAAGACTTTTTTTTTTACAAAGATTTTTAGCTTACTTAATTTTTAATTTAAATTTGAATTCCATTGTAAAATTATAAAATAAAATTATAAAATATGTTTAGTAAATTAGTAATACTTTTTTGTTGTTTATTTAAGCACGGGAAATTTATGTATATTTTATATTTTACTTACGGCTTGTGTGTTGTTATGATTGCAATAATGTTATATTTCTGTTTAAATATTCAGTTAGAAATTTTTCACTTTTTAAAATTATTTTGTTGACAGTAAATCCTATAATATATTTTAAGCACTTTATTGAAAAAATCAATAGACCAATTTTATTATGACTAGATAACCTGTTGCTCGAAATTGAGCAAACCTGCAACTTGTAATAAAATAATAAAGAACAAAAAACATAAACAGCAAAACCTCAATCATAGAGTCGCTCTTAAGTAGTGTCTGTGTGTCTGTGTGTTTGTATGAGATAATCTCAAAAACTACTGAACCGACTGGGCTCAAATTGCACACAAATGAAGCTACAGCTCCGAGGATACATATAGAACTATTCCCACTTCGATATTGTCCTAGGGCTCTGCCCCGTGCGCTTTCAAAAATCTGAGGTGAGAGATATAAAAGTAAATATTGATTAATGGTATCCATGGTAACAAAGAACAACCCTACTTAAAGTTTAAAAATGTAAACAAGCAGAACTAACTACTGTGAAATGAATTTTGACTTCACAATTCCACACAGCTGGTTCTTAAAACATATTAAATACTGCACGAATATTAGAACAGAGAGGGTAAGGATTATAAATTTAAAATAATGAAGTCACTAGCCCGAATGTAAACATTATTTAACATCTAGGGACGTTCCGATACCGCTTTCGATAAGATACTTGGTATCGATATGGTATAGGAAGTGTGATATCGATACCATCTCAGTATCGGACCAAAAGTATCGGAAAAATAAACTGGACAATGAACACAGAACGAAAGCTTGAAAAACCAGGTTGCACTTTCATAAGCGGCACAAATGAAAGCGCTAGTAATTTATCAATAACCCAACCTAACATAACCGATAGCATACCTTCATTTGTGCCGCTTATGAAAGTACAGCCTAAAGGCAAATTAATAAATATAAAATAGGCGAATAAAAAATTACAAAGGTGTTATTTATTTAAACCAATGTAAACACATTTTTCAAACACAAAATAAATGGTTCCAAAATCAATGATTGTCAAATGTTTATTTAAACCATTGTTCATCCTTAACACTGGCCAAAAAAACAATTTTGTCCAAAAACTTTGGTGACAAGTGGTTTCTCAGTTGATTGACGGTAGCCCCCGCTTTAGAGAACAACCGTTTACATGGTACTGAAGTTCCCATTTGCAGTAAATGTTTTCTTGCTTGCATGTATAGGTTAGGAAATACAGTCCTCATGTCCTCCCACTCTTGAAGTGGATCTGATTTTAGCGAACTAACTGGGTTTGATAGGTACAAGGTTATTTCTGATGAATCGGTCTGTTTATTCTTCTTGTTCTTCCCCTGAGCAAGTTCTTTATGTGTTTGCCAGAAGTCAAACTTGGGCCCATTTGAAGATTTGTCTTCTGTCTCGGATTCTCCAGACGATGATACATTGTCACTGTCAGCTTTACACACAGCTTTAAGTTTAGAAATTGCGTTTCCGCATGCTGTACGATTTCTAAAGTGTATGTTTTTGAAACGTGGATCAAGGAGTGTACTTAATGCCAATCGAGAGTTTTGTTCAAAGGACCCAAATCTTTTTAACATTTCTGCATCTAGAGCTTTTTTGGCGGCATTTATTGAGTTGGAGCTATTAGTGGTGTCAAAGTTTTCCAAGTGGGCTGATAAACAGTTAACCATGGGAATTATCTTTGAAATCAACACATATTTTTCTCCTGATATTTCTTTGGTGGCGAATTCAAATGGCTTCAAAAGTTTTTCAAGTTGGCGTAGGTCTGAGATATCTAAACCGCTTACCATTTCTGGGCCAGAACTGTCATTTACGAGTATTTGGCTTACAACTGTCACAAATTCTAAAAATCTTTCTATCATATAGAACGTACTGTTCCATCGAACTGTTCTATAAAACACTGTAAAGCTGTGTAAATAAACTTAAATGAATTATAGAATTTCAAATTAGCCACGTCAACAGTTTTCTCTTTCTTGAAAATCACAATTCACAACATTTATTTTCAAAAGTTGGTTGCTTGAATTAAGTACACTAGCAGCCGAAATCTTCACACAACACTTTAGCTCAGCAGGACTGATGTCAAACGTTTGGACTTGTTTACCTGAGGTTATGTTTTATGTTGTTTCCTGGTTCTCACAAGACAAGGAGTTCTATCTCAAGTTTATTTTCACATTGTATTTCCTTACGTTTTTGGAACGGATTATTGGCCTTAAGTGGCATTCTGTGGGTTTGCCAAGTTTAGAAAACATCACTAATGCACTAAGCTGGGCTCTAGCTCACGATTAGATGTTGGGCAATTAGGCTTTATTTTATTATAACTCTGTAAAAGGTGTGTATTCCTGAATTTATAAATTTCATTCTACACTTATTCACTGCCAAACATAATTCAGTGGAACCTTGATGAACCGAGAATTACACTAGCCTACATAACTTCATTACCCCAAGTAAAATACCAAGATAATTTTTAAAATTGTATTTGAATCGTATAATCTTAGTTTGTTAAAAATGGATTGTATGTTCAACAATTGCAGTCCTTATTGTTATGCAGGATGGTCCCAAATTATTGTTTTTGGTTTTGAAACCTCACAGTTCATTTGACAAAATTAAAAGTTGAAGCAGCCCAAGGTCAAGTCACGCTTGTGCAGTAGTTTTTTTACAAGCTTTCTCCAGACCACTGGGGAGGGTCGGGTCTGATAAGCCGTCTATTGTTCACCCTCAAGGCGGTTCAACCCTCAATAGTGCCGCTCGGCTGCACTCAGTGGGGAACCCAATACCACAAATCAATCTTTTAAATGAATAAAAAAAATATTTGGTAATAATTGTTTTATTGATATTCACCTTGAAATTTCAAAAAGTTTTGTGTAAAATTTGACAAAAATCGGCCATTTTGACCGATTATTAATACAGTACCAATAAAGTACATTGGTAATTAAATAATAGGTAAAAATTAACCGATTTTCGTCAAGTTTTACCCCCTGCTGTGTGCTGTCACAAAAGCTGATAACGACATGGGTGATTGTGATTAGTAACCATGGCAACTTGTTGAATGCGTGATGAAGGGAAACCCAAGAAATAGAAGAACAAAGAGAAAGAATAATGACGTTGTTATCTTTATACCATTTTTACAATTTCTGTTATTGTTATCTTTATGTAAGATTTTATGATTTTGTTTTATAGGTTTATAAAATAATTCTTTTTAACTACGGGAATATCAATTTATAATTTATCAACGTGCTTCTCTTCTGAAACAGCAATACCGGATGCATAATAAAGGTCAATGACCTAAAATATCATGATTGTGCAATATTGTATTTTGATGTTGAAATTCAAATCATGACAAAAGTTTGTATATTTCCCTGGTCCCTATCATTTAATATACACAATCAATCAATGATAATGATGATCAATGACAATTAATGATCAATCAATGCTAAATAATCGTGGTTAGTTCTAACTTTATTTTTGATTATTCTACACAATAAGACAACAATCCAAAGTCATACCTGGCAATGAATACCCGAAAAACAACGTATCTTGTCCTGTGATTGGAATACCAATCGCCAGTCCTTTAGGTTTTTGGAAGTAGTGCAAGTCTATATATAGCTTCAAGGTCGTACGCACCCCTTCCCCCCTCCCATCCTACTGGACTCATGTTGCTACCCAGGGCTTGCTAACCGAGGTCATTGCCCCACCCCTCCCACCCTTCTATTGTGTTGCCTTTCTATTGTTTCTCTTCTGACTTTTTTTTTGGGAAACAAAAATCTATTGTTTACGTAACAGCACAGTAGTAGGCTATATTTTTCTACTTTGAAACAGTACTGTAAAAAAACTTTTACGCAGCGCCCCTAGTATCAGGAGACAAGCACGAGTTGACTTTCATTTGACCAAGGTAGTTCTTTCCTGCTTTATGTCTGTTCGTTCCAGATAAATCTAATCGTTAAGCAAAACAGCCGATAACGACTAAACTAGATAGATATCGGTATTGCATCATACAGCTTCTTTGTAGTTTGCTGTTAGGTTGTTGGAAACGTATTGCTGTAATTTTGTCCTGGGAAACTAATGATGGTTATGAAGATTTAGTTTTCTGTCCAAAACGTCAAAATATGTTGTCTATCCAAAAAAGTCGGATATATAACGGATAGTGTCGGATATCAAATTTGGGCTCGGTTCGGATATCGGAATCCGACCTGATTTTTCGAATATCCGCACACCTCTAGCTATTTATCATCAATTTATAGTCAAACAAATTTGCTTGCAACCTCAGGGTAACTGTCGACTTTGACGGGTTTCACCTAATAAATCTTTAAAAAATCAAACTTTCATAATTATTTGCAAATCTACACGGATTAGGCTTTCCAATGATCTATTAATTAATAAAATCGGTTCATTAGAACTGTAGATTTAATTGTACAAAGTTTAACAACAACATCTTTAATTCAGTATTTTCTCACCATTATAAATTGGGAGGTTGCTAAACATTTTTGCAAATAACATTGAAATGGTGAGGAAATTGACCAAAGTGGAGGGTGATATTCTGATAGAAAATAAAATTTCCTACAAATTACTATTATATATTTCTTTAAAATACTCAATAAATACAGCCTAAAAATGGCTATAAATATAAACTTGGAAATATTAACTTGGAAAAAAGGTATTTTAAATGTATTATTGTTTATTTTTATTTTTTCACCTCATATATGTAATAAAGTCAAACTTTCAAAATTATTTGCAAATCTACACAAATTAGGCTTTCCAACGACCCATTAAGTAACAAAATCGGTCCAGTAGAAGTCTAGATTTAGTTGTACAAAGTTTAACAAAAATATATCTAATTCAGTATTTTCTCACTACTATAAATTTGGAGGTCACTTAGCTTATTGCCAATAACTTTTAAATGGAGGGAAAATCAACCAAAGTGGATGGTGATATTCTGAAAGAGAATAAAATTTACTACAAATAACTACTATGCATTACTTGAAAGTACTTAATAAAGGCAGCCAAAAGCTGGCTACAAATAGAAACTTGAAAACAGAAACTTGAAAAAGCAGTTTTTAATGTATTTTTGTTATTTTTACTTTTTCACCACAAACATTAAAAAAATCACACTTTCATAATTATTTGCAAATCTACATGAATTAGGCTTTTCAATGACCCATTAATCAACAAAATCGGTCTAGTAGAACTCTAGATTTAGTTTTACAAAGTTTAACAAAAATATCCCTAACTCAGTATTTTATCATTACTAAAATTCAGAGGTTGCTTAGCCTTTTTGCAAATAACTTTTAAATGGTGAGGAAATCGACCAAGTGGAAGATGACTGGATGGGACGAAATACCCATAAGCTTAGTAAAAGAATGTAAAGATTATATTGCTACGCCAATCTGTAAAATAGTTAATCAATCTCTATCCACAGGGGAGTTTCCAACAAAGCTTAAGATTTCTATAGTAAGACCAATTTTTAAAAAAGGTGACCCAAAATTGATAGAAAATCATCGTCCTGTCTCACTCCTACCAGTTTTTTCAAAGATATTTGAAAAAGTGGTAAATAAACAGTTACAAGAGTACCTAGAAAAAAATGAACTAATAATCAAAAGTCAGCATGGTTTTAGAAAATCCCATTCGACAAACTCAGCACTAATTTCTCTGAATGACAACATTTACAGAGCATGGGACAGGTCACAGACTACTGCCGCAGTTTGCTGTGACCTGTCAAAAGCATTTGATTGCGTAGACCATGAGCTACTTTTAAAGAAACTAGATGTGTACGGAATAAAAGGTTTGAGTTGGAGATGGTTTAAATCCTACCTTACTGAGAGGAAACAGAAAACTTGTTTAGTTGTAGATGACATGAGGTGTGAATCTAAATATGATGTTGTTAATTCAGGAGTCCCCCAAGGATCAATTTTAGGCCCAACCTTGTTTTTGATATATGCAAATGACCTTCCCAAAAATACAAATGTTGAAATAGTAATGTTTGCAGATGACACTACAGCTGTAATAAATAAAATGTGCTTAGAGGAGTTGAAAACTACATCAGAAACTACTATAAAAGAACTAGAGCATTGGTTTAGAATAAATGGGCTTTCGCTAAATGCTGCCAAAACCAATATAATACATTTTAGAAATTCTCAAAATAGAGAGGGTGTACTAAGGCTAGCAATAGGAACCGATTATATAGAAAGCCAGAGATCTGTAAAATTATTAGGTGTGGTCTGTGATGAAAATCTTAAATGGCAAGAACACATAATGCAGTTAGGTAAGAGATTAAATTCAATATGCTTCAACATGAGTTGCCTTACCCACTGTACCAGTATGAAGACAAAATTAACTTTATACTATGGCTATTTATATCCATTAGTAAAATATGGAATAATGTTATGGGGCTCATCAGAATTAGTAAGAATTATTTTAAAAGCACAGAAAAAAATTCTAAGAATTATGACACTAAAAAAACACAGAACCTCATGTAAAGGTATTTTTAAAAGTTTTAAATTAATGACAGTACCAAGTATATACATCCACGAGGTACTTTGTCACGTCAGAAACAATTTAATGTGGTACTCTCAAGAAAAAACTAGTCACAGTTATAGTACAAGAAACAAAAACTTACTTGTGTACCCTCATCATTCCACAACAACTTTAGAGAAAAGCATTTACTATATGGGAATGAAACTTTATAATAAATTGCTTAACCCTATGAAAAGTTACACCCTCAACCCAACACAATTTTCAGAGAAGGTGAAAAGCTTGTTGATTAGAAAGGCCTATTACAAAGTTAACGACTTTTTGAATGATTCTGAAATGTGATATGTCTTGGATGCCTACTTACCATAGCTTTGACTGAAAAAAAAAAACTGCTTTAAAACCTTGTTGATACTGAAATGTTTTATATTGTTTATTTAAATTAAGACCATGTTAAATAGTTGTAAGCTTAGTTTTATCCTCTGTTATAGTTACTGTTGAATTTTCCCTTTGGTATATTAAACTGTTGAATTTTATTAGTATTTATAAACATAGTATATTTTTGTTAACGATTTTCAAATGTATTTAAACCTAGAAGGAAAGAAACAACTTCTATAAGGACAATTTTATTTATGACGAAGCACCTGTACATACATCCTGTAATATTCTGTACGTTTTGTGCCAATAAAAAAAAAAAAAGATATTCTGAAAGAGAATACAATTTCCTACATATTGATACCATGCACTTCTTGGAAATACTCAAAAAAGGCAGCCAAAAGTCGCAACCAAATAAAAAGTGTGAAAAACTCCGTTTTCAATGCATTTCTTATGGAAAGCATGTTTTTTCACCATAAATCATCACAAATACAAACTTTCATAATTATTTGCAAATCTACATGAATTAAGCTTTCCAACGACCCATTAATTAATAAAATCGGTCCAGTAGAACTCTAGATTTAGTTGTACAAAGATTTTTAAAACTGAATTATATATCAAGTAGATGAGTACAAAGCATTTTAAATTGTAAGGTTCATAAAATGTTTTAGGGCAATGTGCCCAATTTGTAACCAAACACTACAACAACAACATACTAATAATACTACTCTGTAAACTTTCAAAACTAACCTGAACAAGTGACGAGCTGTCCCTGACCCTGTCTCTCCAGGTCTACTACGACCATGTCTACGATGGGAGCGAGGTTTGTAAAGGTCTCCATTACACTCACATAAGAACCGTTTTCATCTGGTTTTTTGTTTAGTTTAATGAGCTGTGAATCACCTAGTCGAGAGCCAATGAACAAAACTCCATTGTCAAGGTAGGTTATTGATTCAGGAATACTGATTTCACCTAGAATAATAATGCCATATGAATTAGAATTCTACCTCTACATATAAATTATAAAACCACAATAGATTCAAATTCAAATATATTTATTCAAGATATTACATGCATGGCCTCGCCAAGTTTACAAAACTTGTTGGCGAGGACCAAAAGATTAATAAAATGACAAACAAAGTTCCGGTTTACAGATTTTTTTCTTTACTTTTTTTCTAAGTACAAAAATTATCATACTAGTTCTAAGCAGTTTGTGGCAGGCACTTATTTGTAACAAGAGTATTTCGGCAGCAAAACTTAATTCTAAAAGCATTAAAAAGAAGTGTAACAATAAACAATAACAACAAAATATAAAAATGTAGGAACAAAACTCCTGTAACCAACGGCATTCTACTTGGCTGAGTAGTATTTGCGCTGAGTGGTATTTGCGCTGCGTGGCACCAGCGCTGCGCCAGCTAATTAAATGAGGGATAGCAGTTTTGACAGGTTAACAATGGCGGAACCAATCAACTGCATTAATAGGATTATTGAGGACTTATGTTCCTACTACATTTTACTTTAAGCGTTAAGTGGTTGCATGCAAAGTCACCTCATCTATGGGTGCACTTACTACTTCACGCGGCGGAGTTTGATGAGTTCAATGATGCAGAAGTGACAAGGGTCATATTACTTACACTTGACTGAGTTGCTTGTAAATATTGTCGTTTTTCATACTCCTAATTAATTTGTACTAGTAGTGCACTATTGCACATAAATAATACCCTCGCCGCAGCAAACCTGCCGTCTAAGCAAATTTCCATTTGCCTGAATTGATTTTCAATAAATCTATTTCTATAACATTAGGTTTAACGAGTACCTAGGTTTGCTGCTACAAGGAAACTAAAAAAGTGTGTTTTTAAGTAAAATAATTATAGTTTAGTATAGAATCAATAAATTTGCCAAGTTTGATCAAAATATATCCATAAACCAGCAAACTACAACATTGTACAATATTTTCCATAAGAATAACATGCGAATTTAAAATTTAAAACTTTTTGAGTTTTCTCCGTAACCAATAACTGTACAAAAACACTTTGATATACTTAATTATTTGTTTTTTTAAGCTCTTTAAAAAGGTCTGTAGAGAAATTGAAAAAATTTTTGTTTTGAGTGTAAAAAATTAGAAATACCGGTTATTTATTTATTCATGCAACAAAACATTATAACATAAACCAAATACATTTAATATAAAGCTACAAAAGCCTCAGTTGGCTTGTCCGTAGCTATAGATAAGAGTCCAGTTTAAAAGTCCATTCACAAAATTCCAGTCAGTTTTATATCTGGTACAAGCTATTCTCCCAATCTATTGTACTAAGTAGATAAATATCCACATTTCATTACCATTTCTTACATTGTTTTAACAATAATATGAAAACTAATAATATAACAACAGTTTTAATACAAGTAAATATATATTTGAAAAACCAATTTACTACAGGTAAGTAACAATCCCATGTTTTACTTAAACTATTTAAACAATATTTAACAATAACAACGCACAGAAGTATTAACAAAGATAAATTCTAAAAACTTAAACAATTAGAGGCGGCTTGGGAGCTCGCGTCTTAAGTTTAAATGGTCGTAGATCAAGTATAGTCGCGACTAAGTTGCAGCGTGGCTAGATGGACAGGGAATCTCTTCCTTAAATTCAATCCAGGTCCACAGTACTGATAGCCGGTTATGTGAAATTCTACAGGTAAAATACCCTGTGTCTGTGTACAAGATTTTCTGTGTACATAAAGGGTGAATAAAAAGTCAAGACTCCCCCATCTAATATGTTAGAACACAGTATAGTCTTCTTGTACACAGACACAGGGTATTTTACCTGTAGAACTTCACATACCCGGCTATCAGTACTGTGGACCTGGAACGAATTTAAGTAAGAGATTAACAAGAGGTGATCCAGGCATAAATAAATTGGATGCTGCATGCACAAAGCACGATAAAGCATACTCAAGATCGAACTATAGTAAAATATACACAGATACCCTTTTGGTGGTCGTGCAAACTTATCTTCATTTTAAGATTTTGAAAAGTTTTTTAAGATTTTGAAAAGTTTTAGTGTCCCCAAAAAATGAACGACTATGGGCTCAACTGGAGATTACTCTATATATAAGATATATTAACCTTTAAACATTACCAATTTAATTTTAAACAGTATGATTTAAATTGGCATTCTATTAGTTACGTTTTTTAACCCGCCCTTATGACAATGTGTATCTGGATCAGGATCCGAAGATCCGGATCGGAATTTTTCAAGATCCGGATCCGGTACCGACATTTTCTTGGATCCGCCCGTCACTACTTTTTTTAGTGAGTAGTCTGAGTCTCACTCTACAGGTGTGTGCGTAAAAGCATTTTTACCTCCTCTTTCTAAAAAAAGTGGAAAAGTGATTTTCTTAAGTCAATTTTAATAGTAAAATTAAGGATGTCATTGCTCAACAAAATATTTCTTGTCAGGTAAAGCAAGTGTGTTATCCTTATTTGCTTAAACCCTCCACTTTGGATTGGTGTTATGTTGTACATTTATTGAACTAGTTGCTCTACCCGTGCTTCGCTACGGGGTGAGAACACAGAAAAGAATCATTCGGATTTTTAAATCTACTATAATAAACAGTTACAACACACTTACCAGGAAACATATAGGCAAAGCACAATAGTACTTATTGATTATTTAAATTAAGATTTCTTAATGTATTACCATCACTTTATATAGTGTATTGCATTTAAAATAATTGCAAAAGTGTAATTCATTGACCACATGGCACCAAGAAACAAATCTTCATATAAACGAATCTATATATAAATCCTAAAGTACCCATGATCTTTTGAGAAAACTAAAAATCACACCCTCATAAACCATATACTTAAAATGTTCGCCATGACGAGAAACCTTGCGCAAAACTATCTATTATTTAATAAATTGCCCTTTAAGGTAGTAAGGAGTTAAGGAAAGGCTTATTGGCTGATTAGGATTATTATGTCCAAGGATAGGGCTCAGCTAGCTTACCTGGTAGACAGAGTCCAGACTAGCCTTGGTAACACACATAAAACACATGACACAACACAGAAAAACTTAATATTTCGTCCCAGTTATGGACTTCATCAGGGGGGGAAGAAGAAAGAAAACTGGCAGTTAAAGTTCAAATTCAAAACGGAATGCCTCTCTGAACCAGCTAACCCCAGAAACGGTCAGCCTGCTAACGCCACAAAACCCATCCACCCAAAAATTATATATCCTCCCCAAAATCCACAAAGATACCTTCCCACCACCAGGTAGACTAATTGTCTCAGGTTGCCGTTCTCCCATGGAAAGAATTTCGGCTTATGTGGACACCTATCTCCAGCCTATAGTACAAAATCTCTCATCATACATCAAAGACACAACAGACTTCCTTTTTAGACTTTCTTCAGTTACAAACAAGCTCAAACCTAACTCCATCCTAGCTACAATAGATGTTACATCCCTATATACCAACATCCCCCAGGCCCACGGACTTGCTGCAGTTGAACATTACCTTGATAAATGAACTGAAGATACCATGGGGACCAGGATGGCCCCCTCATACGCCAACTTGTTTATGGGCAAACTTGAAAATGACTTCCTGCAAAAACAGACTCTACATCTAACCTGTTGGTTTAGATACATAGACGACATCTTTGTCATTTCATCTTTGTCACCCATGGACAAAATAGCCTAAACCATTTTTTAAACAGCCTAAACACATTCTCAACATTAAAATTCACTTGGGAATTATCTGTTCACTTTCTTGACATCATAATGGAACTGAAAAATGGCTCAATCTCTACATCTGTCTATACCAAACCCACCAACCACCAACAGTACCTACATTACAACAGCTGCCATCCCAACAACACCAAACGCTCCCTACCCTACAGTCTTGCCTTAAGAGGGAAACAAATAAACTCCGACGAGAAGAATCTGAAAACTTACAATAAACAACTCCAAACTGCTTTTGAAAATAGAGGATACCCGACACAAACAGTCTCTTCACAGATAAAAGCGGCCCAAAATGCTAATGATAATCCACCAAAGGAAACCAAAACCACCTATGATGTCAACCTGGTGACTACTTACCACCCAGGTCTCAACAGGCTCATTAACCTTTTGAGAACCGGCTACAACATGCTTCGAAGCTCCACCCAGACCAAAGATCTCTTCCAAAAACCCCCCATCATAGTCTACAGACAACCTGTCAATCTATAAACCATCCTAGTCCATCCTAAGTTACCCAACCCATCTGTTGAACCACCTCCAAGACTGCCCCCAGGTTCCTACCCATGCAATGAAACTAAATGCAAGACCTGTGGCATCAACATTCCTGCGGAAACCTTCACCAGGACATCCTACAACAAAGAGTACAAAATAAAGGAACACATAACATGCAATAGTGAAAACCTTATCTATCAGCTACAGTGCAAACTCTGTCAAGCTCAATACATCGGCCTAACCACCCGAACTCTGAGAAAAAGGATGAATGGACATAGACAGGATGTTAAAACAAACAAATTTAAACCCATTGCAATACATGCAGCAAACCACAACTTAGATTTTGATACATGTTTTACCACAAAAGCCATCAAATCCCTCCCCAAAGATCAATGCAACAGCTCCCTACTCAGAAGGTGGGAACAAGCCTACCATTACATTACTGATTCCAGAAAACCCTACTAACCTTAAAATCAGATAATCCACCCAACCCTTCCCTTAGCTAGCTTCAAATTTTTTTAAATGAACTTTTAATCAACCTACCATGTGTATATATGAGTGTGTGTGTGTACATAGATGTGCATAGTGACAGGAATTCTCATTTCATTTTAAACAACAGTTGGCAACACTATTGTGGAACTTTTGAATTTAACTTTAACTGAAAGTTTTCTTTCTTCTCCCTTCTGATTAAATCCCTAACTGGGACGAAATATTAAGTTTTTCTGTGTTGTGTCATGTGATT